TGTTGTAAAAGCTCACCACCTGAATGAAGGCCTCACCTTTCCCTTACGTTTTACTGTGCTTAATGTTAGTCATTAAGCACAGTTATTCACAAGGGCATTTTGAGTGGATAGCAGAGCTTATGCCAAACCTTAATCTTTAGAAAGAAGCCAATGAATGAACTAATGTTTCAATGTTAATTCATGTTTCAATGGCGTACTATTTAGCCTCAGTTGTTGCAGCTTTTTGTTCGCTCCATGTTTTTAACAGTACATGGAGGCATTGCTGATTACTGCAATATTGGTAAATACATTTTTTATTCTTGGTTAATGACTTAATGACTAATGACACATGTGGGTCCTGAGGCTAAGACCATGTCATTATTGAGCAGGTAGGGGTTAGGGGGCATCTTGCTCAAGGATGCCTACAGGTAGACTGAGGACATTGGGGATCGAACCCAGAACCCTTTGGCTGGGACACCGAACCGTTGGACTAACCTGCCCCCTTAAGAGCTTGTTCATTTCAAAGGATTCATCTATTCTTCCTCTGCATCGTCGCCTTGTTGCACTGCAGGATTTTGCCTTATAATCATATGCGTCTAGATAAATGTTGTTTGTCCTATCTTGTAGCGCCCACAGCGTTCTCACTTGTTAAACGTTGAAGAGTAGATTCTAGGTTATATTATTTGCCACAACATTTTAGTGAGTAATACTCATGATCTCACTGTTGCTTGTGGGTGTTAACAACCTATAATTACAGATTTGTGGGCTGACTTAATGGCCTTTTAGACAGACGCAGTTCATTTGGTTGCTAGGGGACCAAATTAACAGTTATGATACACAGCTCAAGTCCTTGTTGAGATCAGCATTCGCTCAGCTTGAGTGCTAGTTAGCGTATAGCTTGGAGTGGTAGTTGGAGAGTAGTTGAGAGTAGTCTAAAAGGGCAAAGCAGGTCCTGTCTCTAAACTAGGTTACTCTCTTATTTTCTTCTTTCTGTAGGCGACGTTCTCGTTCTTCCTTCCCCTGCGATGTGAAGTCCGATATAACGTCACGCTAGGCGCCTGTGACCACCGCGGCTATCTCTGCCTCAGCGACTGTATCTCTGCCCCACCGTCAGAAGAGCTTTGCGCGTGTCGTTCGTTGCATCGTTAGGCATTACACACGCGAGGCGAGGGCTGCCGGGTTCAATGAACGTGACGCGGTGACAGTTGGCTTCAACACACTTTAAGAATGGGCCGAGTCATCGAGCTGCAGCTCGCCCAAACCGCCATTCCTGAAGTCAAGTCGAAAGCACACTGACTACTAGTCCTAGTTCCCGAAGATTTATTTTTTACAACCTGCAAAATATACTGTATATTGTATGTAATCAAATCTATCATTCGTATTCATACCATATCAAATGGATGGACCCACTGTACCTTAATAACCACAGTACACTAGATCCTAATGTTCCTTATGGAAGTGGTGTAAAGGGGAAAGTACAGCCTGTAGCTTAACATGTTTATTTATCGATTTATTTTGGTTTACATGGTCCCTTGTGTAAAACTATTCTGCCTCTCCCAACGAACGAAGGGAGTCTTTGATTAACTGCAGTGGTGCGTGCGTGCGTGAAGGCCAAGGCGACACGGTGACTCACAGCAAGTATACTTAAGGTTGCGATATACTTCTGCGCCCAATAGTTGCCGTAGGTACGCCGTAGGTCTCTGTCGGTGAGTGTAAAACAACTGCATTTATACACCGACGGCGGTGTCAGCCATGCAAGGCGACAGCCGGCTCGTCGGGAGCAGTTAGGGTGAGGTGTCTGGCTCAGGGACACCTTGACACTTAGCGAGGGGGGGCCGGGGATCGAACCAGCAACCTACCGGTTGCCAGACTACCTGCTGAGCTACTGCCGTCCCCAGAGCGTAGCGTAGTCCACCAAAGGTCGCCAGACACAATTCAGTGACATCTGCTGATCTTTACAGTGTGAAGAGGTGGTCTCGTATAAATGTCAAAAGTGTAAGGAATTTTGAACCTTTATTTTATCAGGAATTTGTGTCAGGAAATGAACATGCATGTATGTATGCCCAACTCCTCAACTTGTCTATCATGACCTGGAAAACCGGCATGTAGTTGCACTTAAACCGATGACATAGAAGTATAATTATTATAATATAATTCATCCTTTACTCTGTAGTGGTCGTCGCAGTTCCATTTTCCCACCAATAGGGGGAGCTGCCTCCTTCACCACCGCCGCCACCACCACCACCGCTACCACCAGTCACTGTTTGAATGGAGGGCACCTGTTACCATAGCAGCACAAAGATACTACTGTTGTCTCCCAGCATCGAGAGAGAGAGAGAGAGACAGAGAGAGAGAGAAAGAGAGGGAGAGAGGGAGAGAGAGAGAGAGAGAGAGAGGCAGAGAGAGAGAGAGAGAGTTCCCTGTTTGTTGGCGCTTTTGCTTTGCCTGGTTTTGAATCTACTTTTAATAATGTTGGTCGCATGGCTACCAACCTCTGGGGCTGCACTGTAATGCTGTGTGTTCTCTGGGGAAGGTGAAGCTAAGTATATAGGCCGACTGATGACGGGGCTGCTGTCTGTGTTGTCCCTGCTGTCCCTCCAGACCGTCCGGAAGGGGAAGGAGAAGGAGAAGGAGGAGGAGGAGGAGGAGGAGGATGATAGGGAAGCAACGGGGAAGTCTCAAGGAAGGAAAATTGCTACACTGGCTGGAGGCGCGTCCTGCAGTCTGGATGTGGTCACCTCTGAAAGGTAGAGGGAATAATAATAGTAATAATAATAATAATAATACACTTTTATATTATGCCTTTTAACGTGATATAAAACGGATACAGTCAAAACATTAACATAACAAAAATGATAAGAGATGCAGTATGTAGAGTGTAGTGTATGTATAGTATGTGAAATAATTAGTATAAACTGGTACTTTCCTCCACAGTGGGTTTCATTGTTGTAGGTTATCATGACAACTTCATGACAACTTCATCCTTAAAACATGCTAATCAAAGGCGCTGTGTGTACGATTTAACAGCTATTATTTGAGGGTAATTTATTAATTTAAGGTGATAATATGTTTCTAGTTGACTGCGCCTGCCTCTGTATGAGCCAATTTACACCATTTTACCTACAGCACTTTAGTTTTCATTGACGATTTCAACATTTGTAAACCATATAAAACCAACAGATGAGCATGTAAACAAACCAAAAAAGGATTTACATTTTTAGTAGTACATCCATTCCCACAGCTTCATCAACTGAATCAGTTGTCCTTTCCGTCGTCTCCTGAAAAATGTCCATTTCTCCCACTTTTCATCCAGCTATGCTTCTTTGCAATCTCAAACGATGTCACTTTTTTCCATTATGAAGCTTTCCTCTACTATCTCTATCCATAGTGCCTGGGTAGGGGGATCCACTCTACCCCGTTTCATCCCTTTAATCCCCCCCCCCCCCCCCCCACTATCTCCCTGTAGAAATCTGCTGCGGGAGCACAATGCCCGGCTGCACCAGGTGCTGCAAGACGTCCTCCAGACCACGGCGGCCGCCGAGGAGACCATGGGCCTCCACCTGGAGAGTCTGCGCCTGGCCTCGTTCGCCGAGCCTCCGCCCGCCGCCGGGGACCCCGGGTCCGCCGAGCGTCCGCCCACCACCACCACCACGACCACCACCACCACCGGGGACCTCCGGTCGCGGGCCTCCTTGCAGAAGCTCAGCACCAAGCCCTTCCACCTCTGCACCACAGGCAAGTCCGTCCAGGGTTTCTTCGTCGAGGAGCGGTCCTACTCCTTTGAGCGGTTCCCGCTCTGAACGTAGGTGTCGCAAGAGCTGAAAGGATTTCGGTTTGAAGTCACAGGGATTTTAAAAAATCAAGCATCCGGCCATTTTGAGGTTTTCCTCGTTGAAGAACAAATTGAATCTTGTTACTTGTTAGCCCCGGCCAGCTTGTTTGTCCATGACTTGCTTGCTCGTTGGAGAATTTTTTTTGTCAAAGGTTTTATTAAATAGGATACATAAATTACTTGAATAACCGGTGTCGTCTATCCGGTTAAAACTGGGCTGAACAATATCAGAGCAATGGCATTATTACTTGAAGTCAATGCAATGGAATCTGTCCAAACAAAAACTAGATGTGTGTGTACGTTAAAATTCAAACTGAACAATGAAATGTTTCCGTCTATGAATGATGAATTGATTGATTGCTTGCTTGCTTGTTTGTTTTTTCATTTTGTCTTGTTATTTCAGTTTATATATTGTTTTGTATTACATTGGGGGAGCTTGGCGAGATTACTGGCTTTGATACAATCTTCCTAAGGCAAATGCGGGTTTTTAAAGCTGCAACTGTGATTAACTGCTCGAATCATTAAACATAAAATATCATAAAGTAAAGTATTGGCATACCTTTGAACCACAGGAGGAACATACCAACCGTTTGGTGTGAGCTGGGAGTGATTTAAGTGGGTTGGTATTTAAACAACAGACAACTGCCAGTCACAATTCCTGCGGGCCTCGTCTGACTGGTTTACTGCGCGAGGCTGTTGAGCCCATCATAACGAGTTAATGGTTTCTACCGTATAAGGAGATACTTAAAATAGTCGGGATAGAGCCGGTATTGTAGGAACACTTAACCCACGAATTAAACACACATTTAAAGTCACACTGAACCTCCCACTAAAGTTGTGATTTAGCGCTAAGGACTCTGGCATTGAGATGCACTTATAATCACTCGTGATTATATTGCATAAATAAATAGTGTAAAACTATATCATAAATGCATTATACGATGCATATGTTTTACAAGTGGTGCCAAAATGAATAAAATAATACTACAAATATATTGTTTTGCCCTCTAGGGTTTGTTACATGGGTAAATGAATGGGAGAATTAAAACATATTAAAAAAAACATTAAATTGAATATAAAACTGTATAAATATCATGAAGTTATGCTCTATTAAATCTAAATGGAAGTATTTATTGAAGAAGAAAAAGAGAAAGGGAAAAACTCTGCAGTGTGTTTCTCTCTATCCGTTTAGCTCAACTGGTAGAGTGTGGTGTTAACACTGCCAGGGATAGCGGTTCAATTCCCACTCGCACCATCCACGCTAAAAGAAACCATAACATTGGAATATGCTTTGTATAAAAGGGTTGACCCAATGGTGTGTTTATATTATTATTACTTTATTTAATAATGACCGGGCCTCGTATTGCTCACCAAACAAACCAAGACATTGCCCTATAATATTCAACAAAATATATAGTAATATCTGCATTTCTCCACTCTTATAATACGTGATGGCCGTCGGTTAATATCATGAAATCTGTAATGAAAGTTTATTTTGTGCATTGCACCTTTCAATAACCTACCTTCACCTTGAGTTGTCGTTGTTGCGTGTCAGCGTGTCCACTCTATTTTTAATAGCATTGTTTAACCACTCCTTCTGTAAGCACCCCAGCCATGGTAACCTACTGTAGTAGACCATGTATTTATAACCAGTATATATATATATATATATATATATATATATATATATATATATATATATATATATATATATATATATATATATATATATATATATATATATATATATATATAACCAACCCCTGGTTATAGCCAGTAGAAGCTGTACATTAAAGACCAAACGCATGTAAAGCTTATTGACCACTTCAATTGTTGGTCCAGTTTTTTTGTCTGGTATTAATGAAGAACATCCCACCTAACGTTTCTTACCGTTACTTTGTAGTTTTTTTACCAAATGGCGGTTCAATTGTATACAATTTTAACATATATAATAGTTTAAAAATATAATTTTGCATTGCAAGAGTGTTCTCATTTGATTTGTCTGTTACTATTAATTTGGGGGAAGAGTTTTGCTAAAGCGCCAACAATCATTGACCTGTTGGTGTTGGCATGCATGCTGATTTCATGTATAGAAAGGGCGGGAGGAAGATTTGTATAGGTGTTACATTGTGCCCCGATGTCGTCCCTAGTGAATAATATGGGAAGGTGATGACTAAGTGCATTTTCTGAACGAATGTTATTCAAGTACATACATTTGTATACAGCAAATGCTTGTCCATATGTGCATATCTGTTTTATGCATTTACTTACACTAAACATAAACATAATTTTACACAAACTCCACAAACCACAAGTGTTTTGTGAAGCGGTGGCATTTCAAGTCAGAAAAGAGTCACCTTTTTTAACTTATTTTGAACTGTTCTCTATAAATCAATTTAACCAATGGTGAGGAAAAGGCTGTTTTTATCCCTGCATCTAAACCACCGGACTGTGAAAGTGTATGTCATGATTATTAACGTGTGTGTGTGTGTGTGTGTGTGTCCAGGTTCCGTGGCGGAGAGCTTCCAGGGCAGCGAGTCGAGTACAGACGAGTCATCGACCGCCTGGTCTGGTGGCGGTGGCGGCGTAGCGGAGCCAGACGGAGGCCCAGACGGGTCGTCGGCCCCGGAGGACGACCCTCATCTCCTCTCTGCGGGGGTCCTCGGCTTGCTGGAGGACCAGGAGTCCCTGCTGGGCGCCAGCAGCCGTCTCCAGAGGGCCCTCGAGCGAATGCTGGTGGCCATCGCCGAGAGCAGTGACCAGGTAGGAACCGGAGAGCGGCTGGCGGGAAACCGGGACACTCCCTGTCCGCTCCTCATCACTGCAGTCAATTGTGTGGTTGTCCTTTTCATTGTTGTCTTTTACTGTACCGTATAGCGCCGTGTGACTTTTCTACTGCAGCTATTGACTAGGAAGTTTCTCAAGAATAAAACACGCCCATCCACAAGTCAATCCATCCTGGGAATTTTTCTCTCTAAATCGTTTCATTCGCTATAACTGTAGCTACAACTGTAGCTACAACTCCAGCCACCAGAGGCTGCTAATGAGAAAACGTACATAATGCCGGTTTAAGTCAATTTCTCAAATGTTCATCTCTGCTGTGGCTTACAACTCCGTTACTTGAATGTTACACTTTGTTGTTACATAAATAAAATAACACTTTATTATAATATACGTATCAAGTACCGATGATGTATAACAAATGTGTATCTAAAAAAATAAAAACAAATCTGTTTCAAACTTCAGGTTAGGACCAATATCATATAACAAATATACATCAAAATGTGAACAAATATGTTCAAAACTGCTGCTCGTCAAACATTCCTATTCTTAAATATTCTGATATAGCGTAGTTACGGTCATAGTTTTATTCAGAGAAGCAGATCAGGATACATGCGGTGCTGTAAGGAATGCGTCAGTTGTAAACAGCTGTCCATGTGTTGTTTAGCACACGTTGTTGTTTGCTCCTCATACTGACCAACAAACCTAAACAGAAAACGCTAGGCTAACACGCTGTAGCCTAGGTTTTGTTCAAAACATTGAACCGCAAGCACACAGGCATGCATACACGCATTGCACGCACACACACACACACACACAAAAACACACACACACACACACACACACACACACACACACTCTGTATCCCCCATAGTCTTCCAAGTGTGCTGAAAACAGACAGAATAGGGATGAGGCTGCAGAAATCCGCCCGGCAACAAAGTTGTGCCGTCTAGAAATTGACAGACAATGGAGTCGTCTCATTCCCGGCGGTTGCCTATAGATACCAGACCCAATTTGCATGAGCCCCTTTGTCCGGCCACTCGACCTATCGGAATTCGGCATGAAATAATAGCCCTGCCCCCCTTCAGCTCGTCTACACACACACACACACACACACACACACACACACACAGTGCCCCTGCGCCTCAGAGCCAGGCCAGAGGTCAGCGTGCGGCAGGCTGTTGCAAGCGCTACGCTAGCTGTGCTATGCTAATTGTGCAAAGCTAACTAGCTAGAGTCTTCCCCCTTGGCTTGTATGCAGCACATTACTCACAGCCAAATGGCTTTTATCTTGGCCGTCTAAAAATAGCACCCGGTGTCAGGCCAAGCGTCAGTAACATGCCCTGCGTCTCGCTGAGTGCACGTTTGGCACATGGCATGAAATAATGTATGTTTTGAATGACTATTAATAATGTATGTTTTCTTTTATTTTTTCATATAAAATTGTTTCTTTTTGTATGGCGCTTTGAGTTGGCCCAAAGTGTTGTTAGAGACGAATATATTTGTACTTGCTGCATTTCATCTCCTGCGTAATTTCATACAGTACATACAGAGATTAAGCATTTCACATGTGTGAGTAGAATTCAAGCCACTAGAAGTTGATCATGGAGAAACTTACATAGTGCAGGTTTAAGTTGTGGAGCCGCGGGAAAGGTAAACGCTAATTTTAACGTTATCTATCCATGATCAAATTCGTACAATCCTCGGGTTGGATTACCTGTGTGTGTGTGTGTGTGTGTGTGTGTGTTCGGGGGTGGATAAGTCAGCAGACAGGTTTGTGCACTCTGAACCACCATAGGGACGGTTACGCACACCGTGGGGCCATGCCTCTATCAATAAAGACATGTTTTACAAGCCGGGTTATATATCACATCTCGTAATGTAACACCCACTCGTAATGTCTTCCCCCACTTCCCGCAAACATGCAATTAAAACGTTTAGCAATCAGCTTAATTGGCTAACGGCAAACGACAAACCGCTCCTACTACTACCGCTACTACCACGGCTACATCGATTGAACGAGCGCTTATCTCGTGAGTAATCGCCGCCACTTTCCTCCCGCGGTGTAAATCAGTGCATCACCTGGAACGGCGGTTAGTCCGGCGAAGACGCCCTCTGGAATGCGGAGGCGCATCAACCGCTCGTTTGTTGCCATGGCGTTTTGGTGAATGATTTGCCTCGGCTGCTGGGCCACAGCTTTGCTTACTCGACCTCCGCCGCCGCTGTGGGTCAGTGGAAAGGTGACTTGGTCTGGATTGTTGTGCGTTTTTAGATTAGAGCGACACTTGAACGGAGGAGTAGGAGGAGGAGGAGGAGGAACAGGAGCAGGAGGAGGAGGAGGAGGAGGAGGAACAGGAGCAGGAGGAGGAGGAGGAGGAGGAACAGGAGCAGGAGGAGGAGGAGTCATGGGGGGAAAGAACTGTAAATACTTAAAAATCACAAAGTGTCCCAATCAAAATGGAATTAGGCTGTCTGTGCATACATGGACGTGAATCCGGTTTGACAAGTTTGCGTGGAGGAGGAAGAAGAAAACGAAGAAGGGAAAAAAGGGTGTGTGCTTTATATAAGGGGTGTGTGTGTGTGTGTGTGTGTGTGCGTGTGTGTGTGTGCGACATGCATGAGACTCATGGCAAAGAGACAGAGACAGCGTGTGAGTGAGGTAGTGCTATTTGCAAATCTACCTGAGCCGGCTGGCCCCGGGGGCTGGGAGACACACCTGCGTCCCGCCCCGTTCTGCCGAGCGGTGTGATCCTGATCTATGAACACAGGAAGTGCACAGACGGACAGACGGCTGGAAACGCACAAAAATAACCGGGACATTGGGATTTAATCTTTTTTTAAGCCTGTCCCGTGAAAGTGACAACACCGCATCACGCGGGCGGTACGGCGAAGGAAACGCTTTAGTGTCGAAAAGATGACACGACCGGCTGAAATTAGTGCATGTGTCGCTGTCGCACGGACCGATCTGGATGTGGAGAGGAAGTGACAGGAGAAAACCAGAGAGCAAGGGAGAGATAGAGGGAGCAAGGCAGAGTGTGTGTGTGTGTGTGCATGCGAGAGAGAGACAGACAGAGAGAGACAGAGAGAGAGAGACAGAGAGAGAGCGCGACCTGGATCAAATATTTCACCCTTCGCTGGCTGCGCTGACTTGTAAAGGAACAATTAAGCGGAGGAGAAGCGGGGGCTAGGCTTCCCGGCGGGTCACGGTTGCCACGGCGGCACGGCATTGTTGACGAACCTCCAGTGAGCGAGCAACACAGAGAGAGAGAGAGAGAGAGAGAGGGGGTGGGGGGGGAGTAGAGCGAGAGGTAGGCAGTCGGCGGGGGTGTGCGCCGCGATACGGCTGTGCTCCACTCAGTAACCAGAGAGAGACGGCGCAAAAGAGAGAGTGAGAGAGAGAGAGAGAGAGAGAGAGAGAGTGTGAGAGTGAGAGAGGCAGGCAAAGTAACTCAAAGAAACTCAAACCTTCATTTG